AGACCAGGCTAGTTATCCACTCATGAGTTTACTCATGAATTTAACAAATTCAGATGAAGGAAAATAAATGCTTTAGAGAAGAGTCTTTCATTGAAGGTTACCAACTATGAAACTTGGTTTTCATTTATACAATGATATGCAAAGCTAACATCACATGATAGTAGTGTATAAGACTAATTAAATTATAATATTAATACTTGGTGAACAAAATCTTGGAGAATTGATATTTTACAGCCCCTTAGGATTATTAAACAAAATAAAACGTCCTAGAATTTTCAACTATTATATGAGTAATTATTCCACCAGCATACACAAAAACCCATAAAAGACTAGGAAATTAAATTCTTTTTTTTTTCTGGTACTGGGGTTCGAACTCAGGACCTTGAGCTTACAAGGTAGGCACAATCCGGCTAAATCACTGGCCCAGAAATTAAATTCTTTAACATACCATTATTGAGCACAGACAATAAAATTCCTAGAGGCATTTCCAAGCCATCAAAGACACTCACAAACACTACATTCCTATTGCACTTCCTGCTAAAGCTCTGGGGCACTTAATATATGATACGTTAATCATTTATAAATGATATAGATACATAACTACTTTTGAATAATTATCTACATTATTAAACATACTCAAATTAGAACTACAGGACTAAAAAAAGAAAAAGTAAAAGGAAGAACTATATGACTGGTGATATGGCTCAGGAGTAGAGCACTTGCCCAGCATGCACAGGGTCTGGAATCAAATCCCAGAACCACAAAAAAAAAAAAAAAAAAAGGGAAGAGAAGCCACCCAGAGTGGTGCCCACCTGTAAACCCAGCACTAGGAGGTGGATGCACGAGGCCAGCCTCTAGTACATTCACATCTACATACCACATACAGAATTCAAAGCTGGCCTTGGCTACATAGAAAAGAAAAGAAGGGGCCACGGGTGCCGGGGATGTAGCTCAGCGGTGCTGTGTCTGCCCAGCAACAGCAAGGTTCTGAGTTCAATGCGGGGGGGTTGCAGAACTACAAATCTAAGTTCTAGTATTTTATATCCACCCTTTAGTGGATAGTCTTGTATATACCATGAGGCATATAATTTTAGTGGAGATCACTGACCCAGGCATAGGTTCCAGAGATAGGGTCTTGCTTATGTCTCCTCTGTTCCCAATTCATAACCAGAGCTCAGTAAGACAGTGGGATTTAGCTCAGTGGCATTGCGCCTGCCTCACAAGCTCAGGGCCCTGAGTTAGATCCCGGGGGGCAGGGATGTTGAATGAATGAACAAAAGAACACTTGAAAATATGCATCCACAATATAACTTTCCGATATACTATATAGTTCATCAGCCCACTACTTAGCCTAATATTAATTACCAGTCCAATTTTTTAAATAGAACACCAAAAATTGCATATTTTTCATTAATTTGTATAACAAGAAATATAAAAATGACAATGTTATCAAATTTATTCTATACAAGAAATGACTGGTTGAAATGACACCCACCCAAGCTATGCTCAGGATAGTCAACCTGCAAACAAATGCGTTGCCCAAGTGACACTTGGGGTAAACTGTTAAGTGGTTAAGTGCCAAATTCTAATTAAAGAAAGGGATTAGAAGAAAATCATCCACTGTATTTTATTACCACAATTTAAAAGTCAAGAACCATTTCAATTCAGCCAATTCTCACACACACATACACAGAAAAAGCACATTATCTGTTTCCAGAAGGATGAGAGGAAGCAAAGAGAAACAGGGAAAAAGAATAACTAGACATTTTTAAGGTTTCTTTGACTTCTGACATGCTAAGTTACAACACATCTTTCATGTAACATTTTTTGAATGCTGTATTCCAACAGCTTATAATACATTTCTGAGAACTAAATATCAGGGATTGTGGCTCAGTGGCAGAGCACTTGCCTAGCATTGCAAAGCCCTGGGGTCAAACTACAAACATAGACATAATCAAGTGAAATTCTCAGTATCAAAGAAGTGTAACAGGCATACTCCCCCAGAAAACACCTGTACTCTAAACAAGAGTCAAGCCTTCCCCTCTGATCTACTCAAGTTATGTGGTAGACAGATACAAGCCAAAAATAAGAAAACTGAGAAGGGGAACAAGGGAGGAAGAAGGGAGAAAGGAAGGAAGCAACAAGGAAAAAAGTGAAAATAGAAGGAAAAAAATGGAAACAAAGCTTCTGTACATAAGGAGGGGAGGAGGTTTGAGGGGAGAATGAGATAAAATAAAATTTATTAAAAATAAGAAAACTAAAAAAAAAAAATAAAACTATTAAGGTTTATGTAACTGACATATAGTCTCGCCAAAATAGGTTGCAAACCCAATCTTCCTAATTTTCAGAGCTTTTAAAATGTAAATGAGTCACTTGGCTGCCCTTTCACTCAGGTCCAGTGTTATCTGTCACTAACATAACACTTCATTTCTAAGGCCCCACTTTGTAAGATATACTGCCTGGAATTCCGCATTTGTTTGTGATCACACCAGACTATTTTTTAAATACTACCTAATTATGGCACATAGTAGGTAGTAATGCTCAATAACTTTAATTAAAACGGAAAAAGCAAATATTTCAGGAGTTCTATCAAGCTCATTTTGTTTATACAACGATTCATGTAACACACATAGGAGAAATGTGTCAAATCCTATCTGCCTCACCCCATTCACTTTACACAATATAAACAAGTAAATAAAACTAACTGATGCAGGTTTAGTAGCTACTTATTCAAGTGGCCCAAAAGGGTTCTCAACACATTTTCTGGTTCCATAAAAAGCTTTTTCAAGCCTGGTGGGGTGGTTGTTCACACCTTAGTCCTCACTACTTGGGACACAAGGCCAGAAAGATACTTTGAGCTCAGGCATTCAAAACCAGCAACATAGTGAGACCTAGTCTCAAAGAAAAAAAAAAAAAGCTATGTAAACTTACTGCTAAAAGAAATTCTATATTGAAGTTTGACATTTACTTGAGTAAACAGTATCATGTTTTAAAAGTTACTTTTTTTAAGAAGGCTCCTGGTTTCCATTTGGAAATGCTATTTTATTAACTTGCCCCTCTCTTTCGTTTTAATTTTCCTCTGCAGCAAACTGATAAAATCCATTCAAATAAATGCATTGCTACCTCTGCTACCTCATCAAATACATGTGTTTTCAATTTTAACAGGCAGATACTTCAAGACAAATTAAAACTCTTTAGTCAAAAATGCATCATTAACTTCATTTATATTTTAAAATGTACAATCTTAGTTTGATATGAAGTTAAGCACCCTAGCTGAGTACAGTGGCACAAACCTGTAATCCCAGCACTTGGGAGGCTGCGGTAGAAGGATCACAAGTTCCAGCCCAGCCTGGACTACAAAGCGAGACCCTACCTCAAACAAACAAACAAAAAACCAAGAAAAGAAAAATAATTAAGCAGGCTAGAGTTAGATAAAAGTTTAATTTTAGAATGTCTTAATGCCAGGTATATCACTGGCATTCACATCCTCAAACTTAACACTTCTGAACCTTGAAGCTGTAAATCAGTTTGACTGATGTTCTGTTTCATGCCATGTAAGCCATTGCCTAATTGAGGCCAGACCTGTCAGGCTCAATAGCATCCCGGAATTGACTAGTCTACTAGGCCTGGAAATACATCAAGAATTTGGAATATTTCTCATTTTGAGACAGGGAAAAAATTCAAGTGAAATTGTGCTTCAGAACAAATCATGACACTGTTCCAAGGCAGGGAAAAAAAGACATAAAAAGCATATATTTGTTATTCTGGGTGTATTCCATATCTCATCAAATGATGTTCCACTCAACCCTCTTCCTGTATATGAAAAAATTTCACCCCTGAATTATCATTTTGAATGCCAACTTTTTAATCTAATTTTCATTTTATATCCTTTGTTATGGCTGGTTTCTTAACTTAGAAACCTGTTAACTATAATGTCTAGCTAGCATCTAATCTGCTTACTGCTTTTCACTTCTTACCAAGAAAATCCATTAAACATCAAAAAGAAATACAGGCACACACAGATACACACATTCAAATCCCAGTCATGAAAAATTAAGTCACATTCCGGCTATAAACTGTGCAACAGACACTTCCAGTTAGTTAGCCATCATGGACAGCGGTATCAAAGTAAGTGGTAGGGGGCTGGGGCTGTTAACGCATCAGAGCCAATAGCAGCAGGCTAGGACTGGCAGCAAGGGCAGTCTCTAAAGGGAGCTATACCACTATCACAATGCTGGATTTCCGAATGCCATTTTACGGGAGGGGGTGATCAGAACTGGGAATCAAGTGCAGCAAAAACCTCTGGTCAACGTCTGAGGCGATGAAACCTAAGACCAGCTCTTGTGGTAACACTCGCTGTTCAGTCTCATCTCACCTCAAACACAACTTCATTTCAGATCCTTCTTATCAAAGTCAGCAGTTCAAAGGGTAAGGGGTGGCAGGAGCAGATGGTCATAGCCCTCAAGAGATTGGAAAAGGCCTTTCGAAAAAGCAGAGCTCCCCAATAGGAAGGGACTTCCAAGAGCGCTTTACAGCCGCCTCCTTTCCATCTTCCAGCCGCGGATGTTAGGAATGAGCTTAGGGTGTTGTTGGTTTTTATGAAGGAGTGATAAGAGAAAATGGCAGTGAAGGATGAAGGGGGCTAGAAGGGCTGGAGCCACCCAAGAAAAAAGGGGAGAGGACTTCCCCAGACACAACCAGAATACCACCACCACCAAAGACCACGGGTATGGCCAGGTCAGAGCCTTAGACCCCCCCCCCTCGCTCGGGGAAAGCTTCGCCCCCTTCCCTACGGTCCCAATTCCCAAACACTGCTTCCCACCCGACCTCTCTTCTGTCCCCCACAATGGTCCTCCTCGCCGGCCGTCCTGCCTTTCCGCCTCGGCCGCCCCACGCTCTCCACCCGCGTCCCTCCCGCGGTCACCACCCCCCCACCCCACCCCACCCCCGGCTGCCCGTCGCCCGCCTCCCCGGCAGGCGCCCAGACCCCTCCCCCTCACCTCTCTTCAGCGCCTCCTCGTAGCTGAGGAATCCGATCCGTGACTCCTTGGCGCCCATGCTCCCCTCATCCCTCAGCTGGGGGTCGGAGCCTGATCCTGCCCCCACCCCCTCTCGCCTTGTCCTCGGCGTCCCCGGCTGTTGGTGTCGGCGTCCCCCGACCCCCTCCTCCCCCAACACTAACAAGTGCGGCTTCTGCCCCGGCGGCTCCTCCCGGCAGCCGCCACCGCCTCCATGGCAAATCACGTGACCTGCTCACACCCCGCCCCCTTCCCCTCCCCTCCCTCCTACTCCGCCCTTCTCCTTTCTCCTCCCTTTCCCTCCTCACGCCCTCTTCCCTCCCCTTGCCCCCCTCCTTCCGCCAGCCCCGGCGAGGGTCACCTGACCCGACGCCCGGGACTGTTCCAGGTAATGGCCGCCCGGGGCCACACTCCGCCCTGCCCCACGCTAACCGCTCGCTGGAGCGCCGGGGAGGAGCCTCATCTCTGCCCCTAACACGTCATCCAGCCTGCCCGCCAATCCCAGGCCGCGACGCCCGGGGACGCCTCCGCCCGGGAGGGAGGGCGGTGACTTCCGGGGCGTTTGAGGCCTGAGCCTCCCGCCCCTTGGGCGGGGCTGGACCCTTGGTTGGTGTAGCCCAGCCGAGAGCCGCTTTAGAATAGGATCTGGCTGAATGTTAAGGGTCCAAGTAGGAAGAATGCGGCTCCTGAGAGAAAGAAGAGGACAGGCCGGGAACTCCTAACGCTCAGGGGACTTTTGATGGAGGAAGTTGTGAAAGGAAAGAAGCGTCCCAAAGCTTCCCTATGACGAAAAGAATTCTTACCCTGGCAGGCAGATCCCTAAGGAAAGGTCACGAAGTTGGGAATGTCGTCCCACCCCCACCCGCCCCGAGCTTTCCTTCTAGCCGCAGGCCCGACTGTCCTTCGTCCACCTCCTTGCTCCCAAGCCACCTTTTCTTGCACAAGTTCTTTGGGAACTTCTCTGCCAAAGGATAATCTTGCTTCATTGCAAGAGTTACCTTCCTCCACAAATAGGACAGTTCAAAGCGAAGTATCTTGTTTTTTTTATTGTATACTTAAGGTCCTTGTGCAACCATTCCCGCATCGCTACAGAACTTTATTTACCTTGCAGAAATGAAACTGTGCCCACCACTAACTCTTCTTCCCCTTTACCCCAGTTCATAGCAACCACTTTCCTGCTTTGTCTCTTAATTTGACTACTCAAGTATTTCCTATAAACGGAACTGTATTTCCCCTTGTCATTAGCATGTTTTCCAAGCTCATGGTGTAGTATTACACCACTTTCCCGGATTTACCATATGATCAGCACTTCCACTTCAGAGTGTATACCCCCAAGTACTTCAAAGGGATATGAACAGCTTAGTGGTCCACCATGTTTATAGGAGCATTACGCACAGTAACCAAAAGATGAAAACAACCCAAGCCCCCTGACTGGGTAAACAAAATGTCGTAAATCATTATAATGGAATATTGATTTTTTTATTTCCTTGAAATTTAACTCAACTTTATTTTCCTTAATCTTCACCCGGAAAGTCACAGAATAAAGCTTCTGGATAAAGAAGCAACATTGAAAAATAACCATTTGGATTACATTCAAGATGCCAATTAGGTACTTTAGGCCCTGCAAAAGGATTTCGGTTACTAAAGCCAACAGATTTTCGTATGCCCTGCCAGAGAAAGAAGGTAATACTCTTGTTTCCCTACTCACCTTTCCTGGCAGACCAGATCAGCAGCGTTGCATTAGTCACAGCACTGCCCTTTCCAGTTAATTTTAAGACCTCAGATTAGTTGCATTACAACAAGGCCATGAATCAAGGAGTTGGGAATGTATTTCAAAGCCTTTAATTTCCAGATCTCTACTTCGATGTAGACAGCCTTCTTCAGACAAAACAATTCAGTCATCTTCAGCCTGAACAGTCTGAGTTCTGAGTTGAGATTATCATAATGGGATGTCAGTCTACAGAGCAGGCACAGCTTTGAAGGAAAGACCCTAAAGAGTTCACTTTCAACACACTGTGGTCGTCATTGCTATCCAAAACAATCAGTACCTAAAGATCCCCTGTACCATAGGCCTGGATGTTTACTTACCCATTGTTGATTTACAGTGGAGTTGAAAGCTGATTATTTTCTCTTTGTGATACTTGCCCCACTTGAAAGATGGGACTGGTGTTTATCTCAGAAGATATTTATTTGATAAATATCTCAGGAGAAGATTAATACCAAATACTCAAAAGAATAGAATTAAAACATTATGTATAATATATATTATATATATATTAGGGCAGTAATAACACACAGGATCTTTTCAGATTTTGGCTTTAAGTTTCAGGCCTTGGGCCGGGGATTTATCTCTGTGGTTCCAGCGCCTGCCTTGCAAGCGCAAGGTCCTGAGTTCGATCCCTGGTACCAAAAAAAATTAAGTAAAGTTTCAGGCCTGGCTTTCCCTACAGCCATAAAAATTTCACTCCATCACAGAGTTTATCATGGATTAAACACTTCTAAAAATTGTGAGTTGATAGTAAACTAAGAAATACTATTTCTTCTTTGTCTGAGTTAAATTAACCATATTATTGAAGGCAGTGAGGCAGATAGTTATGTCTGATGGGAATTTTAAATGTTAAACTGGGATCAAAACCTGCCTTTTGGTTTATATTATGCAGCATCAGGCATTCAGATGTTAAATATCCATCTATAACTTAAAATTGTTACAGTACTTAAATTTGATGATGTAGAAAATCTAAAGTCTACTTGTCAGGCTGAAAGGAATTCCATTAATCATTTACTTTGTTCAGTTTCACTTAAACCATTAAAGAGCCAGCCAACTCACTTTAAGCTTTGGGTGATACTTAGGAAACCATTGCTTTAACTATAATTACATACCTAAGAAGGGGGTTGTCCATGCAGATATTTAAAGCATGCCACATTGGTATGTAATTTCTACTTCCAATTGAGCAACCTAAATGACAGTATTTGTACTCCCAGAGAAATGACATAAGGTCAGACAGTCATTTTAGTACTTGCCAAAGCAGCTTAGCTACACTAGAGATAGGCCAAAACAGTAAGAAGGGTGGAACAGCATCTGATCTATGCATAATCTGATTGCTGCAATGAGGCCAATACTCTGAAGTGTGGCTATATGATAATTGATTTTCCAATACTATTATGGACTTGTTACCTTATAGACACAAAATGAGGATGTAGTCACTTGTATACATTTTTATTTACATTAAAACACAATTCTAACAGTGTATATTTGACTGTGAATTCTTCATCTTGTAGATGAGATTTAAACTCAATTTTAGGGCCGGGGATTTAGCTCAGTGGTTGCAGCGCCTGCCGCACAAGCACAAGGTCCTGAATTTGATGCCCAGTACCAAAAAAGAAAAAAATCTTGTTACTTAAATTCAATTTTAGGCCTTTCCCGTTCTTAAATTATATCTTATTATCTCTTGGAATGTACATTTTCTGGCCAGCTCAAAACTGATTTCATTTATTTATTTTTGAGATGGAGTCTCACCCAGGCTGGTCTCAAACTCATAGGCCCAAATGATCCACGCTTTTTTTCTTACCTATCAGTGTGATCCTTCTGTTGCCCATCTTTCACTGAACTACTACTCTGCTATTTTTCTAATTCTCCATTTATAGACTCGGCTTCTTTTTTGATTAATAACTATTCTAATACTGAAGAATATCCTGATATTCAAATTTTTGAGACAGGTGTGCCTATATATGGTTTTTGGTTTTTTTGAGACAGGGTCTTGCTGTATAGTTCAGGCTAGCCTTGAACTCACTATGTAGTTCAGGCTGCTCTCACACTTGTGGAGATCCTCTTGTGTTTAGCCTCCCAAGTACTGGGATTACAGGCATGTTTTCTTCCAAATGGATGTAAAAACTATAAAGGAGAATTGGATGAGAGTTTTTTGGCAACTCTGTTCAATCACTGGTATTCTAATGGAGGGGAGCCTTGAGAGAATCAGATGTGAGTTTCTTAGAGGAAGGAAATTCACGTAGATGAGGAAGTTGGCAAGTCTCATACCTATTTAGCATTTTCCCATTGCCCTAACATTTAGTATAAATATTGGAAATAGCTCATTATAATATTTGTAAAGCTCTTTTTCCACATTAGACCTTAAAGAACACAAAGAATTTTTTAAAAAATCTCTGGGAACTACCATGAACAAGATAAATACAGGATGTTATGGGAACCCAGACTAGGAAGAAGGTTTAGTCCAAACTGAAGCAGTGGAATAAGAGAGGGAAGCCTGAGGGATGTATGTCTTAGAGGATAAAGAAGAAATAAGCCATTCATTCATGCCAACAAATCCAAAGTGTCTACTGTGTTCTAGGCAACTAAAGATACAGAAAGAATACAAGTAATAACTCCTGCACTCTCACTGAATATACATTCTAACAAGGAAATGAGGACCAAAACGTAAAATAATGTCAGTAGTTCTGTTGGGAAAAATTGCAGGAGGAGGAGACAGGAAGTTCTGAGATGAAGGTTACATTTAGAATGGTCAGAAAGGAGCAAAAAAAAAGTGATGTTTAGCCTCAAATCTGAAAGAGACCACGAAACAATTCTTGTGGATAACCAAGGGAAGATTATTCTAGATCCTAAACAAGAGCGCCTCTGGCAAGTGTGAACACCAGGAAGGAAGCAACTGTGAATGTAGCAGTAAGGGAGGTAGATGGGGGCAAATCTTGCTTAAACATTTTGGTTCTTATTCTATGGAAAATGGGATGCTATTCCGAATGTTTTCTTTTATCTTGCTTTTGTTTGTATGTTTGTTTACTGGGCCCAAACTCACTCTGCAGAGCCAATTTCTCTATAACGCTTCACTTTTACTTTTCAAATAAACTTTGTGACTGCTTTTTTCTCATTTCATTCAATTCTTTCTTCAAGTCAAGAACTTGGAATTTAACTCCAGAAGGAGAGGCAAGGAACCCAGAACCTGGTAACATTTAATTGGCAAGCCACTTTTAGAAGGAGCCACCCAATAACATTTTGACATAGCCAGGAGATTCTGATAACACAAAGATCAGGTGTTCAAAGCAAGTCTGGGCTATATAGCATGACTTTGTCTCAAAAAAAAAAAAAAATGTTCAGGAGGTGGGGAACTAGCAAGAAGATTGAGAAGACAAAGTCAGTGAGGTAGGAAAACAAAATAATGAGGGAAGGCATGCCAAGAAAAAAGAAAAGTGTGAATAAAGGCACGGGGACATAAAACAGAACTCAGAACAAAAAAGGAATTGAGG